ATGGTTCATGGGGACGTATTTCAGTCTGCAAACTGCTCTTTGCCATTCTATTTGCTTTGGTTGGAATCTGCCTGGTGGAACTGGTTGTCACACAGCATTGCTTCCACTCGTTGACAGATTGACCCCGAAAGCTGGCTGTGCAGGCATGCAGGGTGCACATTCCCTTGTGAATAAACATTCGCCTTTTGACATTTTCCCTTTCCAGGAATATTCTTGCAAATTAAATTTCGCTGGCACAAATGTTTGACTAGAAGGGGGCGGAGGCACCCCGGGAGTAAATTCACAAGTTGTATTGCAATTAAACGTCCTCTGCAGCATTCACCCAGTCGTACCCAGGAGGTGGGTGCTGTGAGATGCAGATATACCTCCTGACACCACAATGGCAGGCAGTTTTCACCTTGTATTTAAGTCTGCAAAGCCAATCGCTCGTTTGGCGCTCTCAGAACCTCCCTGCTTGCACTGGGTAGCAAGGACTTTCCACCCGACAGCTCCCTTCCCCAGCATGCCACGACTGCCATCACAGTCAGCATATGCAGAAACTTCCAGCCCCCAGCAACCTTCTGGGATGGACCATGAGCACACAACACAGGACAGCATGCTGAACTACATTGCAAACCATTTAATGTGCATGCAAAGACAGACCAAGTCAGTGCAGGGCAGCCCAAAACTTACAACCTCTTTTTTCTTATTCTTTGAGGGATGCTGAGTTCCTGCACACGGACACTTGCTTCTGCATGCAGGGCAGCACCGGAGATCCTGTACGGGTTGTAGCCCTCAAAGATCTGCTTGCGGACCATGCTGAACTACATTGCAAACCATTTAATGTGCATGCAAAGACAGACCAAGTCAGTGCAGGGCAGCCCAAAACTTACAACCTCTTTTTTCTTATTCTTTGAGGGATGCTGAGTTCCTGCACACGGACACTTGCTTCTGCATGCAGGGCAGCACCGGAGATCCTGTACGGGTTGTAGCCCTCAAAGATCTGCTTGCGGACCTTGGGTTGGGCGAGCTCCGAGAGCCTTGCCGACATGACGGCATT